ACCTCTTTAAAGTATTAAAAGGCAAAAATGTCACTTTGATGAATAAAGTGTGCCAGACCCAAACCATGGCATTTTCATTTGCCTCATATGCATGTGAAAGCTGGACAGTGAATAAGGAAGGCCAAGGAAGAATTGATGCCTTTGAATTGTGGTGTTGGCAAAGAATTTTAAATATGAAGTGGACTGCCAGAAGAATGAACATCTGTCTTGGAAGTATGGCCAGAATGTTCCTTAGAAGGGAGGATGGGAAGACTTCCTCTTTCTTACTTTGCACGCGTTGTCAGGAGAAACCGGTCTCTGGAAAAGGACATCATGCTTGGTAAAGTGGAGAGTAAGCAAAAAAGAGGAAGACCTTTAATAAGATGGATTGGCACAGTGGCTGGAACAATAGGCCCAATTACATGTACTATCGTGCGGATGGCACGCGACTAGGCAGCCTTTCGTTCTGTTGTACGTGGGGTTGCTATGCATTGGGACGAATTCAGCAGCACCTAACCACATAGCAATATGCTATTTACAGGATACATACCTAAAACTTGAAGACACAGAGAACTTAAGGTAAGAGGATAATGAAAATATACCAAGCAAGTACTATCCCCCCAAAAGAACTGCTGGTAAAATTCGTTATTTCAGACAAAAGAGACTTTAAGACAACAAGTACTTAAAGAGAAAGAGGATCACTATTTCATAACAAAATTCCAAATAAGTAAGAAAGAAAATTTATGTGGACCTTTGACCATAACCTCAAAATATATTAAGAAAAATTTCAGAGCAGAAATCAGTGAAAAGCAACGAAGAGAAATAGACAAATCTGTTTTTATAGTCAGAGATTTTAATATGTCATTAGTCAATAGCTCTAATAAATCAGTAAGATCCACACAAAAAGCTATATATGGATATTTATAACAGCTTTATTCATAATTTCCAAAAATTAGAAGCAAACAAGATGTCCTTCAATAGGTGAATGCATAAACAAACTTTCGTATTGCATACAATGAAATAGTATTCAGTTAGAAGAAATGAGATATTAAGCCACAGTAAATAAATATTATAAAACAGGAACCTTAAATGTATATTGCTAAATGAAAGAAGCCAGACTGAACGCTACGTACTATATGATTCCAAGTATATGACATTCTAGAAAGGACAAAACGTTAACCTGTTGTAGTTAGTCACTTTTGTCACATAATGACCCTATAGGACTGAATATAATTGGACAATGGGGTTTCCAAAGGTGTATTCTTTATAGATGCAGACTGCTACATCTTTCTCTCATGGAGCTGCTGGTGAGTTTAAACTGCTGACCTTTCAGTTAGCTGAAGCACCGTGCCACCTGGACTCCTTTGGCAAAACTACAGATAGTGAACAGATCAGTAGATCAGTGATTTAGAGGAGCCCTGGGTGGTACAAACTTTCAAGCACTCAGCTGCTTACTGAAAGGTTGGCAGTTCATGTCCACCCAGGATTGCCTTGGAAGAAAGGCCTAGGGATCGACTTCCAAAAACCCGCCATTGAAAACTTTGCGGAGCACGGTGCTCCCCTCACACA